CTTCCCAGCCCATTCTCCAAATTCGCTTCTGCCCTCAGCCCCTTCCCACCAGGGGGCGTCCTAGAGTTGGTGGAGAGAGTAAAGACTGAATATTGAGAGGAGTTGGAACTAGGTTTGAACCTTATGGAATGGAAACAGACCTTTTTAAAGAGTTTTTCACCTTTAGGTGGGCGTGGCCCTACAGAATAGCGGGTTCTTGCATCCCAAAGGCCTGAGGGCGTTACTTTCTTCCTCTGAGGGAGTGTGATCTTCATAGGCAGCACCCTAGCACCCTCATTTCCATCGCACAGGATTTCAGTGCAGCCCTCAAGTATCCCCTGCCCCGCCCCCCGCCCACAGCACCCCCATTCCATTCCCGGTCTTCCTAGAGATCATGACTTAAGATAAGTGTTCCTAAAAGGAAAGTCTCTCAAAGGTCCTAGATGGTTAGGACAAGGAGAGAGAGAGAGAGAGAGAGAGAGAGAGAGAGAGAGAGAGAGAGAGAGAGAGAAATATAGGAATCTCTTTTATGCACCTCTGCGAAAGCTGTCCTGCTGGGGGCCGTGCCTCCGCAGACGCTCCAGATGTTTTCAGTTCTGGAGCCTAGGTAGGCAGATGGAAGCACCCTGTGAGATCTTTCAGAGAGCAGAAGTCAGGAAGATATCTTTTAAAGGCGCTCCTTGGATCTCCGGAATGGCAAGTATCAACCCCAGCTCCCGGTTTCATGCCTGACTTGGACTCTGGGAGCGGTTGCCTCGACAGAATTCCTGAGCCCACCTCAGCCCAGAGTGGAGCCTACAGCCAAAGGAGACCTGCTGGAACAAAAGAGGGTTGCAAGTGCTTCCCTCTAACAGAGGGTCAGAGGTTTACTGTTTCTTTAAATCCAAAATATAGAATCAGAAGGAAGAACTTCTGTTGGACAAACTCAGGCACAGGATTTCTTCCTGAATTATCTGAGGCCCTAGCACAACAATCCAATAAGATACACAGGGCAGGTTACGACCATTTTTGCAGGTGAGGAAACAGCTTTGTTCCCATAATATTTTTTGAGGCACTGGGGGCTTTAGCATTTCTCGAGACAAGGGTCTGTCCTGGACGACGGGAGTCAGAAAACACAATAGTTTAATCTGCTTGTGATGGAGGTTGCTCCAGGATATGATGGGAACCTACAAGAGTTATACTGCACAATTGAAAAATAGTGAAGCTAAGGCTCAAACTCCAAGATTTCTAACTTTTACTCATGGGTTCATCCCACAACCTTGGAGAGAGCACTAAGAAAATTGGGAAATAGTGCAACCCCCCCCCCCCTCAACAAAACTTCATTACAACCCTATCTGGATTGGATATTCAGTAACACTTGTCACAAACTACATATTACTGGGAAGATTTATTGTTAACATGTAAATTCTATATGGGGAGTAATTTCATCAAGATTGTTGAAGGCTGAATTTTCTAACCCAGTATAGTGCCTGATAAATATTTGTTGAATGAATCATGAATTTTGATAAAACTTGAGCAAAACAACACCAACAGGAAACACACTTATTGCCCTCGGGAGATATAAAGGATTATAAAAGAGTTGGATAAAGCAAGTCAGGGAAGGGTAGCAGGGAGGTGAGACTGGTGTTTCCTCCTCAACATCCCACCCGTTGGAGTTACAGAACTAGCCTTCTATAATGATCTCTCTGTTCTTGTCTCTCAAAGTGACACTGGAGGGAAAGAAGGGAATCCCCCTTTGGCCTCCCTGTGGGTGTAAAGGCTGATGGCCATTCAGCACCTCTAGGACTGGGCCTGTGCCTCCGCAGCTCCTCGATTCCTGGCCGACCTGCTGCCAGGGAGGCAGTGTGCCCAAGACCAAAACTGGAAGGCTTGACCCTAGAGAATAGCGGAGCTCTCGCACCCGTAAGGCCCGAGGGCATGACTCTCTTCTTCTGAGGGAGTCTGATCTTCATAGGCAGCGCCCTATCCTTCCATTTCCACCCCAGAGGATTGCAGTGCAGGATAGGGCGGTGCAGCCCAACAGTCGTTGGAGAAAGCGTCTGGGAAACTCGAGGAGAGGCCAGCGTTGGGCTCTGCTCTGCCGGCTCCCCACCGCATCTACTCCACTCAGGAGCAAGTTAGTTGCGGGGCCAAGGAAGAAGCGAGGGCCGGGACCGGAGAAGCAGACTGGATTCTCGGCTATAACCGGCAGCCGTGGAGAAAACACCGATTTAACTCGAATCTGCCCTATTCAGGATGAGTCAGGGAGGAGATGGGAAGAAAGGATGCTCTTTGGTCAGAAAAAGGTGTTGGGGCCAGAGAAAGGACTCACAGGTCTTTGCTTGGACAAGCCCAGAGATACACATATTTGCCTTTTCCCCACAAGGCCCCGGGGTCTTTGGGCTTATCCTTAGCAGTGCAGCGTGCTGGGGGGGAAAGAATGCGGCGCGGTGGGTGTGTATGAACCTGCACACGTGGGAGAGAAGCCTGGGGCCCGGGATGCAGGGAGCCAGCAGGAAAGTCTCAGGTGAGGTCTAGACTAGGCTGGAGCTGGCTGTTGCCACGTCAGCAGCTGAAGATAGAAACGTAGTCCTAATTTCAGGGAGAGAGCGAAGCCGTTGTCCGCTCCACCCCTTGAGCTCTAATTCTTGCTTTGCGCCCCAATCCCACCCACCGCCACGGTCCAGGTGGCTCAGGAGTAGGGTGTCTTCCAGATCTGAGACCCTGATTCTACTGGAGGCTTAGCCCCGAGAAGCTGCCAGCCACATGCATCCAGGGCCTGCTGCGGGGCTGGAGCTAAGCTGCCTAGGGAGGAAAGTTGAGGAGGCACAACTCCGGGGCTGTGGAAGAGTCATCAAACTCTTCACTCAGGTCCGGCATCCTAACTACAGAAATCTGGGGTTCTGGCAATGAGCTTTAAAAATGTCAAGGCTTTGAAAGCACTTTGATATGTTGGATCTTATTTGAATCTCATTAAAAAAATGTCGAAGAATTATCACCATTTCTAAATGGCATTGAGGGAGAGGTGCACGACATTGGACGCTTGGTGTTTCCTACATTTACCACGTATGAAATAATGGAGAGAGAGAGAAAGAGATAGAAGATGAGTAACTGGGAAACCCACTCCACCTTCCAGATAAGACCCCATTCTGGATTTGGGCCCATCTGTGTTGCGCCTACAGTCAAAATCCGCTTTCCGCTTTACCGGAACTTTTGCACTTGAACCCCACGACGCCTCCCTTCCTACACCTTAGACATTACATTGACCAAAGCACAATTGATGTGGTTTGAGTTCTTCCTGAGAGCGCCCCCCAGAGAAGCCCCTGGGAAAGACCGGTGCAGGGCCCAGCTTTGCACCTGTCTTTAGCCACGCGTGTTGCAAGCGCATCTCTGCACGAAAATGCAGGGTTGCCTGCCCCAAAGCCACTGTGGGGGTCCTGTAAAAAACGAGGGTCCAGGTGGGAGGTCTGGGAGTGAGGTGGGGGATGAGGTAGGTGGTGAGGAAAGCGAATGTTAGTATAGAAGTTGGCTTTGTATTGAAGGAGTACAGAACACTCTTCAAGGAGAGGATAGAGATCTTAAAAAGCAAACAGAATAACTTTCACTACTATAATTGCTATTAATGAAAAAGGAGTTTAACCTGCTGAATTAAGTAGATAAAACCTGCTTGTTCATTATTGGGAGTTCCCTCACTACAAAGAGGGGAAATAAAACAAAGAAACAAAAACCAAATTCGAGGAGCTTCATTGACTGGCCTCCGAAGTATCTTGGAGGCATCAGTCGGTCCGGAAAGCGCTCCGCCCTCTCAGTCCCCAGCGCAGTGAGAAAGCTAAAACCACCAAAGAAAAAGCAAAACAAAAACAAACAACGAAAGCGTTTAAAATCCAAGAGGGAAAGTCTAAGTTGGTCTCAAAATCTGCGCCATGCCGCGGGTAGTCAACTCGGCTGCAGATCCCGGACCGCCAGAGCCACGCATCTGACGCCCCCGGCCCCGCTGGGGAGCGCAGCCCACAGCTCCCCCTCGCCAGGCGCCCAAGGACCCTCAAGGCGCGGGGCTCACACTTGAAGCCTGGGAACGCTCAGACAGGAAACCCACTTCCTCCTAAGCAGTTTCTTGCTCGCAGGATGAGAGGTGCCCAATTGAAGTAGAATGATCCTCATCTACTAATATCCAGCGTGGCCACAAAGCGACTGGCCATTTACGCAGCCACTTTAAACAAAGATATTTGGTTATTCCCGGGGAAGCAAGTGCACTTTTGCATGGCTGAGCTCCGGGGCGGAGGAGAGCTTCAGCCCAGCCTCCCGCCCGTTAGGTTGCCAGCGCCAGGGTATTCGCCCCCTCCCGGTCAGCGGGTCCCGCCAGGGTTTAGTTCCACCCGAGTACAGGCGAGAGGGCTCTCTCGCCGCCGGTTGCCGGTGTCCTCTGGAAGCCCCCCAAGGGGAAAACAGAGAGGCTCTCCTCTCTGGTTCTGAGGCTATGAGGTCCTCTGAAAGTCGGTTCCAGCCCCAGAATCCTGAGTGTCCAGACAATGGGCCAGGGTCAGGGACAACTTCAGTGACGGACTCTCACGTTAGTCGTTCCCCATCTTCCTAGCTCAGGAGGCTACTGGTGTGCTTGCCTCAACCGGGGGTGGAGGTGGGGAGACAGCGTGCGGGTGTGGGGGTGTGATGAGGGGTGGCCCGCTAAGAAGCCCTGAGCTGGGGGTGGGGGGAGGCGCGGGGATCCGCGACAGCCTCCGGGCGGCAGTTGTTCCCTTACTCAGCTCCCCCTCCGCCCGCTAGGATTCTCTCCGGTAAGGGGAAAGGGGGCGGGGAGCAGAGGTGTCCCTCTGACGGCGGCAGAAGAGGCAGACAGACTGACAGACACGTAGACCAACAGTGCAGCCCCAGGGTTCGTCCCCAGACTCGCTCGCTCATTTGGTGGCGACTGGGGCTCTGCGCAGCGAAGCCCGATGTGGTCCGGAGGCAGTGGGAAGGCGCGGGGCTGGGAGGCCGCGGCGGGAGGGAGGAGCAGCCCCAGCAGGCTCAGGTGAAACCCCCACCCCGTCCCTCGGCCCCCTCCTCCTAAAGACCTGTCCCTTCCTGGGGAACCCCGACCGAATTGGAAAGTGGTTCCACTTTGTAACTCCTCAAGTTGGTTGCAAAGCAGTATTCACCTTCCTTCCTCCCCATCCCTCCTCCTCGGCTACTCTCCACCCCACCTCCTGCCTTCCCAGCTCTCGGTCCCCTCCTCCTTCCCCTCCCCCGCCTCCTCCCCGTGCGCTGCCGGCACCCCACAAAAAATGGGGATGGGGGTGTCTAGGGGAGAGGGAAAGAAATGCTTTGGGTCCCTCTCTCTCTCTCTCTCTCTCTCTCTCTCTCTCTCTCTCTCTCTGTCCCTCCCTCCCTCTTTGAGACCTAAAAATCCTGACAAGTGAAACTTAAAGGTGTTTACCTTGTCATCAGCATGTAAGCTAATTATCTCGGGCAAGATGTAGGCTTCTATTGTCTTGTTGCTTTAGCGCTTATGCCCCGCCTCTGGTGGCTGCCTAAAACCTGGCGCCGGGCTAAAACAAACGCGAGGCAGCCCCCGAGCCTCCACTCAAGCCAATTAAGGCGGACTCGGTCCACTCCGTTACGTGTACATCCAACAAGATCGGCGTTAAGGTAACACCAGAATATTTGGCAAAGGGAGAAAAAAAAAGTAGCGAAGCTTCGCCTTCCCCCTCTCCCTTTTTTTTTCCTCCTCTTCCTTCCTCCTCCAGCCGCCGCCGAATCATGTCGATGAGTCCAAAGCACACGACTCCGTTCTCAGTGTCTGACATCTTGAGTCCCCTGGAGGAAAGCTACAAGAAAGTGGGCATGGAGGGCGGCGGCCTCGGGGCTCCGCTAGCGGCGTACAGGCAGGGCCAGGCGGCACCGCCGGCCGCGGCTATGCAGCAGCACGCCGTGGGGCACCACGGCGCCGTCACCGCCGCCTACCACATGACGGCGGCGGGGGTGCCCCAGCTCTCGCACTCCGCTGTGGGGGGCTACTGCAACGGCAACCTGGGCAACATGAGCGAGCTGCCGCCCTACCAGGACACCATGCGAAACAGCGCTTCCGGCCCCGGATGGTACGGCGCCAACCCAGACCCGCGCTTCCCCGCCAGTAAGTCAGGCCGCCCCACTGCGGGGCCGCGGGCTGAGCACAGGAGGCGTGGAGGGGTCCGGCTGAGAGCTAGGCATCAGGGTGGGCAGCCTGGCAGCGGCGCCTGGGAGATGGGTGCAGGAGTTGGGGATTCTTCCTTCTGCTGGGCTGGGGATCCAAGAAGAGACACTTGGTAGCGCTGGTCCTGTGAACAGGTGCTTCTACTAAGCATCTCCAGGCGCGGCTAACTGGCAGCTCTGCTGCGCGCCTAAGACCTCTGAGAGCCGATCAAAGCCACCCCCGAGTTGAGGGAGCAAGGGTGAGCAGCGCATGGAGAGGCAAGGCCTGGCCAGGAGCTAGGCCGCCCTGCTGGGACGCATTTAGGCGCCCGGCCTGGCCCGCTTTCTAGCGGAGTCTGGCCAGGGAGGAGGGCGCGCGGTTCCGCAGGGGGCTCTAAATGGCCTGAGCTGGTGCCTTCACTGGGACCCACAGCAGAGGCAAAACGTCTGGGGGCTTGAGTTTCTGAAGTGAACACTCTGCTCTTGTTACTTCCCAAAGTTGGGGTCTACTGTTGGACCCCAACTCCGGCTCTGAGCTCTGTCCTCTGCCTGTGGCGGGCTAACACTGTGCTTCACATCGGGCTTGGGCGCAAAAGGAGCAGGAGCGGCCTTTCCCCCACTGCGCTTTTTGAGTCAAAAGAGAGTTCTGAGGGGGGTAGCCAGGGTTGAAGCCGCGAGCTCCTTCGACGGCGCGGCTAGACCTCTGGAGCCGAGCAGTAGGCCTGGGTGAGGAGGGCGCCGTCGGGGTTGGACCGGGTGGGCCAAGGGCGCTGAAGGTAGGGTTGGCCTGAACCCGCCCGGTCCCAGCCGACGCTGTGCGTTTGTCGCTTACAGTCTCTCGCTTCATGGGCCCGGCGAGCGGCATGAACATGAGCGGCATGGGCGGCCTGGGCTCGCTGGGGGACGTGAGCAAGAATATGGCCCCGCTGCCCAGCGCGCCGCGGCGGAAGCGCCGGGTGCTCTTCTCCCAGGCTCAGGTGTACGAGCTGGAGCGACGCTTCAAACAACAGAAATACCTGTCGGCGCCGGAGCGCGAGCACCTGGCCAGCATGATCCACCTGACACCCACGCAGGTCAAGATCTGGTTCCAGAATCACCGCTACAAAATGAAGCGCCAAGCCAAGGACAAAGCAGCACAACAGCAGTTGCAGCAGGACAGCGGCGGCGGCGGCGGCGGGGGTGGCGGCGGGGGCGCCGGTTGCCCACAACAGCAGCAGGCTCAGCAGCAGTCGCCGCGCCGTGTGGCAGTGCCGGTCCTGGTGAAAGACGGCAAACCCTGCCAGGCTGGCGCCCAGGCGCCGGGCGCCGCCAGTCTACAAGGCCACGCACAACAGCAGGCGCAGCAGCAGGCTCAGGCCGCCCAGGCGGCAGCAGCAGCTATCTCGGTCGGCAGCGGTGGCGCGGGCCTGGGGGCACACCCGGGCCACCAGCCTGGCAGCGCAGGCCAGTCTCCGGACCTGGCGCACCACGCAGCCAGTCCCGCAGCGCTGCAGGGCCAGGTCTCCAGCCTGTCCCACCTGAACTCCTCAGGCTCGGACTATGGCACCATGTCCTGCTCCACCTTGCTATACGGTCGGACCTGGTGAGAGGACACTCCGCCCGCCTTAGCCCGGCGCGCTGCCTCACCGCTTCCCCTCTGCCCGCCACACAGACCACCATACACCCGCTGCTCCACGCGCTTCTACTTTTCTTAAGAACCTGTCAGCGTTTAGACCGAGGAAAAATACACAAAGGCCAAACTGCTGGACGTCTTTTCCCCCCTCTTCCTTTCTTTCTAAATTTGTGGATTTTTTTAAAAAAGAAAAAGAAAATAAAAATCAACCAAGCAAATTCAATTCTTTACGAAGTCTTTAAACATAGAAGGACATAGAAAGAACAGCTCTGGGGTGTCTTTTCCGTGATTCAAATTGATTTCCCACGCTGGGGCGGGGCACAGTTTGGAGAGGGCTGTACACTGGTATGGCTCTGGACTCTAAAGATCTCAAACTTCACTGTGGGTACACTCTGACAGCAAAGTGGGCTCTCTTGTAAATACCAGATTTTTTTTCTTTTTCTTTTCTTTTTTCTTTCTTTCTTTCTTTCTTTTTTTTTAAGAAGGGAGGAAGGGTGCTGGGGAGAGGAAAGATTCTTGGACATAACCCACTTGTCACTGACACAAAGGAAGTGCCTCCTCCCAGATGCCCTCTGGCCCTATAGGTTCAGCCCCAGACCGTCCCTCTGGAAAATTGTTTTATGTTTGATGTGAACTTGTAGCTGTAAAATGCTGTCAAAAGTTGGACAAATTCATAGTTTTTAGTAATCTGTACATTTTGTTGTAAAAAGAAACCCACTCCCCATCCCCAGTCCCTCATTTTTTTAAGGGCATTGACAAATCTGTGTATATTATTTGGCAGTTTGGTATTTGCAGCGTCAGTCTTTTTCTGTTGTAACTTATGTAGATATTTGGCTTAAATATAGTTCCTAAGAAGCTTCTAATAAATTATACAAATTAAAAAGGTTCTTTTTCTGATTAAAAAACTTTCTTCTTGTTTGGTTTTGATTTGACTTTAAATAGCTTTTTTAGTGTTGGTGGCAGTGGGGGGCTCATCTTTGGCCTGATGGGATCTGAATTGTTTGGATTTGAGCTCTAAGGATTCTGAACTAGATAATGAGGCCAGGCCCAGAGTTCCTGTCCCGCAGGAAGAGGGAATTGTATTCTACCTTGCAATTGAGTGGAATCAAATCTTGAGCAGCCCTGCTACTCAGTAATAGAGGACAGAAAGCTACACTACTTCTACCCTAGAGGGAGAAGAAGAGAAGAAGAAAAAGAAACCATAGGACTTGTTTTCAAAGCAAGGCTTTTGTTTTTAGAAACCTCAAAACTATGTACTGTGGTCTTATACAGTTGAGCCAATGTTTTAAAACAGTGGTCCAGGATACCCATTTGAAATAATCCTGAATGAGCTATCATTTCTGGTGAAGGAATTATTTCTGTAGACATGAACATCAAACATAATATTTATAATCCTCAACCAAGCTCTTTTACAGTTAGAATTTGGTGGGTGGCTGTTTTCGAAAGGGAAGCCATTCAGGGTTTTATTTTGGCTTTGAGGCAGTGATCCCTGTTCAGGAATCAGCAACGGCCCCCCACTCCACCTCTCTACTTCCTCCCCTCCTGGCTGCTCCTTGGTCAGTGTCTTTAACTAGATGGCTGGAATGAGGATCCCTCTGGCAGGACTTTGAAAGCTGGGGTTTTATTCTTTGTTCCTGAGATTTCCATCTCTGTTTTCTAAATCTTTGCAATGATGCCTCTTTCTCCTGCACCCCCCCCCCAACAAAATAATTTTTGCTCCTTTTTTTTTTTCAATCTCTAATTTCCTGATCCCAGCTTTCAGTTATATGTGTTGGGGGAAATATTGAGGTTTCTGTGGTGAGCCAGGGGTATTGGTGGTGGAAGAAATGTTTGTGATCAGAGAGAAACATTATAGTCCCGTGGATGGGCTGTTATTCCTTTCCTGTCACCCCTGATGAAACTACAGAGAAAAGACAGTCTAAAAGACTGCAGGAAGATGCCCCTCCTAGCACTTTCCTCTAGGTCTGGAAGTACTTGTTGTTGAAGATTGATTCATATTTGGCATGCATTCACGCCTTGCCTAGATTTTCAACTTTCTTTTCCCCTTCATGCTTTTTTCCCTCCCTCTTTTCTTCCTCTTCTTTCCATTTCATTTAGTCTCCAAGTTTCCCTTCCAATACCCACACCACATCCCCAGCTTTATCCCCAAGACTTTGTAAATGAAGCAGAAAGCCAGAAATGCCTGCCCGGCATCTAGCAGTCCTTTTCACTGTCTTCCAGAGGAGGCCTCTCTGTGTGCCTTAGAACTAGGGGTTAGTGTGGGCTTTCTCCCTCACCAGGCCTGGCTACTGAGATAAGTTTTCAATATCCAGGTGGGACATGAAGATTCTGAAAGGATGGTTGGTTGGGTCTAAAGAGTGAGCCGGTTTGGGGAAATTTCAGGAGGCATTTCATTTGGGAAAACAATCAAAAAGTTTGAACATTTGCTGTGTAAGGGGCAGCTTTCCTTCTGTGACAAGGCACCCAGCTTAGGGTGGCTGGGCAAGGGACTAGCCTGGACAGAGACATGGCGCGCGCCACTGTGCTGCCCCCTGCCTGTTTTCTACCCGGGGGCCGGTTCCTGGGAGTCACCGTTTTAGTGTGCTGTGATATTCTTGGCCTTATCACAGGATGGAGTTTCTATCAAACACATTCTTCTCCCCGCCGGCTTAGTTTGAAGTCTGTTTACTTGTCCCGGGAAAAGGTGAATTCAGCCGGGTCTGCGGATGGGACCTATACAAACAGGGCCTCCGCCGCCTCTCGCCATCAATCAGTCCGGGTCCACTGGCTCCCGGTCCTAGCTGAGGGATTTGTTGCAGCTGCAGGAAGTAGCCCTGGAAAGCAGTCTTAAACGTCTCTTGACGAGTGTGCAGGGTTCCTCTCGTGGAGTCTCCTATTTTAGGTTTCCAGCAACTCGGGTCCTGGTAGTTTCTGGCCTCCCTGAAAGAGAAATCAGTATTCTGGGAATGCATCTGGCGTTGAGGTGCTGGAAAAGTTGAAAACTTCCCTCACGTGAGGGGGCAGATCAGTTTGTTCAGATATACCCGAGAAACTTTGCCCCTTCCAAAGTACCCCACCCAAACCTAGGCCCCAAAGGCTCCGGGAATGGGGGAGATTTTGCAGATAGCATCTCCCCCTTTCCTACTATCCCCCACCCCACCCCCACTCGGCCATGTAAACAGGAGGACTATCTCGAGAGCCCTGGAGAGCCGCTCTAGTGGCTTCAGGGCCTGAAACCCCAGGCTTGGTTTGTTTGATGTTTAGCATCCCAAAGCGGCTACCCACCCCCGCCCCAGTCTGGGAACCCCGAGCTGTGGGCCTGTGGGCAGGAGAGGAAGGAAAGCAGCCTTCTCAGCTGGCGGTCCGTGGACTGGACTGGGCTCTGGGAGGCGTGAAGAACCAAACAGAGATGCCCAGAGGCGGGGAGGAAGGGATCCTGTGTTGCTGCTTCCACAACAGGGACACCTCAAGGATGGGAGGCGGGTGAAGGCATCGGGTGCCTCAGGAGAGCCGGCAGTGGCTCGGGATAGGAGCTGGCGGGATGGGAAGTAGCTTGGAGTCCGCAAGCCACATCGGGGCCCCCTCGGCGAGACTCGCTCTGGGCACCTAGTCCTGGAGGCGGGGGAGGCCCGCAGCGCTCCAGTCGGAGGGCATAGCCGGAGGCAGCTCTACTTCCCAGCTTAGGGCTTGGCCTTTCATGGGGAGCGGCTTGCTTTCCAAAGGATTTTATATCCTCCGAGGTTGTGCTAGGGAGCTCCAGCGACAAGGCTTGGATCTAGCATCGTAGTAGTCTTCGATTTTGAGACCCCAGGACGAATCCTCAGACTTTAGAGGCCGCACACCCGTAGCGCGCGCGCGCTCCGCGGCGTCTGGGCGTCGGTGAGGGGCTATCTCAAGGCGAAAGTGCACAAAAGGTAGCGCGAATCTCTTCCCAGGCGATCGAGATAAGAGGAAATGAGAGCGAGGTTTTCTGACTTCCAACTCATTAGGGACCAGGTAAGGTCAATACTTTCTCTATTATGTCTTTATCTTAAAAGCGGGTCAATTTAAGATAAGGGAAAAAAATCTAGAATCTGTGTGAACCGTGCTGATAAAGACTGACCCCTTTCCTGAACTAAAGCAAGCCAGGCAGACATTCATTTTCTATAAACAAGAGAGTTGAGAGAAGCTGCCTTGAATTCTGATCGGATGTCCCCAGTCTCTCTAGACATAGCTCCCCCCTCCAACGCTTCCACCTCCCAATCATTAGAGTGAGGAACCTGAGTGAGCGGGAGATTTTATTTGTGGAGAACTAGGAAGTCCATTGGGAAATGTGAATCTGAGATGATATGATTCTTAGGTTGTCTGCTGGCTGTTTTCTTCAAAGATGTCTTTCTTTGAAAATGGAAGGTAGTGACATGGATATTGGGAGGAATGAAGCTGAATGTTTTCCTTGCTTGGCCAGGTCCCCATTAGGAGATGCTTCTTTTGGCCCTCCCTGTCTTCCTGGCTGGTGGGTGCTTCCTTGTGCAGTTGTGTTCCTGAGGCTTCAGGCCACCCTCTGGGGGGCCCAGTTTGGAAGCCTGCCTTAACTTGGAGCACAGAAAGTTTTCTGCCTCTTCAGTGAGTGGTTTCTGGAAGGAGTGACCTGGCTCTAGGCAAACTGTCCACCCAAGTGACTGGAGGAATTGCCATGGATGGGAATAAAGTATGTGTTTATGGAAGGGGTGGCCCAAGGACCTTGTGAACCCCCATTCCCACCCAAATAGTGGTTTCTGAGCTTTCTTTGATGAGTCTTAAAGAAATGGAAGAAGAGCAGCCTCTGTAACTTGGCAGCATAGCTTTTGCCTCATCTGAAGCCATAGCTGAAGTGGCCGGCTACTTTTCTCTCTGATACTGACCTAATACCCAATTTGGAGGGTATCTATGTATAGTCCAGGGCTTCTGTTCCTCCCCACATTTGACAGTGTTTCCCATTTCATCTCTGCTTCCTAAACATTTATGGCCTTTGTAATTATGAGTTATAGCAAAGTTTTGGAAAAAGGTGAGATTTGAATACATTTCCTGTTTTATTTATTTTTGCAATTTTCAGGACACTGTAATATAAATTGCCCAATGTAGTACTTTTCCTGAATGATAAAACATATATGTAAACATTTCAGGCAGTAGAAAATTCCTTCTTCCAACATAATATTCACATCTGATTCTGCTCACTCTGTATATAGGGATAAGTGGTTGCTTACAATAGATGTCTGTCAATGTATGTATATGTAGAAGTATATATACACATATCTATTTTTAAGATGTTCCAAAACAAAATTTTAAATATAGAATTGGATTTTACAGATTCTGTTAGATGTAATAAAGTTGAGTACATTCATTACCTCAATTGAAACTTAGTTTTCCTTTAAAAATTAAAAAAATTCTTTAATTTGTCCAATTTAACTGGAATATTTATTTATTGTCATGTGGAACTCTAGAGAGCTAATCATGTTTGGGAAATTGTTAAATTTGTGCTTAAAGAAATGGAACTTGGTGCCTGAGACACAGCTGTGGGTGAGGGTTTTTTTTTTTTTTTTTGCAACCTATATCACAAATTGTTGTCTCTCGCTGAACTTACAACATCCACTAAAAGACATCGTTAGTATGAATGCTACTGCCCGGCTAATGAAACAAACCAAACTAACAAAAAACAAAAACAAGAGAAATTATTCTGCTCCTTGTTTATAGCCAATGTTCTCTCTCTTTCTGCTTTCATATTATAGTGGAAATACAAGGGCAGGTCTGAATGTGTCCCACAAGAAAAAAAGACAAACTCACTCAACCCCCATTTTGCACATTTTTGGAAAACCTGTCTTTGATTGCTAGATCGTGGTTGTCAGTAACTGTAGATTGTTGATGGAGAGGTAAACATTGCATTTCTAGGGTTTTGGTGATTGCTTATAATTTCATTTCTACAAAACCAGAAATGTCAAAACATGAAAAGTGTCCTTGGGTACCTTTCTCCTACAGCTGTGCTCTGGAGGAGTTCTGTGGACAATTGCCCAGAACTGGACGGCCTCCACCTTGCCTCTAATTCTCTCCCAATGATGGTGCTCAAAGGTGTCCAAAGCTCTAGGAAAACAAGGGTTCATTTGGCTTTCATGCTGCTGGTTTACCTGATCTCCCCAGCACACACAAGGTTGAATGTGCATGTGTAGATGTAAACCTGGAATTACCGTAATGACGCGAAGAGGACTGAGAGCTGGTTCCTCTGAGCTGGCTGTTTGCTCTGCCCTAACCCAGGAGACCTGGGTAATATTTAACTACCAAGTATACCTATGTATAGAATGAAAACTCTTTAGGGTCTTGGAAGATGCTTCCTGAGATACTGAGAACCAGGTCTCTAAACAGAGGTTCAGAGACAGGCTTTTTCAGAGAAGATACTGAAGCCACACAGGATTAAACCTTTCTCTTGGCCACTTCAAAGTGTCTGGAGGTCTGCAGGCCTGAGTGGGGACCAAGGGGACCAGGAGCTGGGCAGTGAGGGCTTCTTTTTTCCCTTCTGACTTGGCTTCAGAAAGAATTGTAACCTCTACCTTTACAGGTGTGCACAAAGCAAGTGCCTACCTCTAGCCAGGGCAGTCAGAAGTTGTAGCTAGTTCATTACTATTCACCACCCTTCAGTATTAACTGGAATGTTGATTTCTGCTCTTTGGTATCACTGCTTCCTGACAAGAATGCTGAAGCAAAGGCCTGAGTGCAGTAAACCCTGGAAGTGTGCACTGTATCATACTTACATCCAATACAACAGTAAAGCTCAGATATCTCTGCACACATCCACATGGTTCATTGGTTTCATACTGACATCAAAAAGGAGAACCTTTTGGAAATATTTGACAACAACAACATCAACAGAAAAGTCAACCCACTTATAGTCTATAATCGAGTACTGGATGGGGGTAAAGAGAAAACCTTTCAGATCCATGGTAGCATAAAGTACCTGGTCATTAACCTTACTGAATGAATCACTTTCTAATGATTACAATGCCACATAAACAGAAAATTAGCTGTTGAAAAATCTTGACATGGCTAAATACTTAGATTTTGTTAGTTGTGTTCTGAAAGCTGGGGATTTTCACGTACATGGGTCTGCATGTTGGAAAGACAGAAGAGAGGACAGGGGACTGAAAAGGAAGGAACGGGAGAGGACAGAAACTGTACCTGGTGACAGTGTGTGGGATTCTGTAGGTGGTTGTGACAGCTGAGAGGTGCTGGTTGTAGCTGATTCAAAGTGTTGGGGTGGAGTGGATGAGTGTGTGGTGTGTATACATTGTATTGAGGGGGTGATGCCAGTGGAAAGGGCCTGGGAGATGGCTGGGAGGTGGTGTGTGTACCATGTGTGAGCTTTGGACCGGTAACACAATGGGAACCTAATTATCTGGCTGAAACATGCTCAAATGGCAAAAAGTTGCAAAATAGATCGACCTCCCTGAGAAGAGAGGGAGCTGGTTACAGAGGTCTGCAGCCATCATCCTTTTTTCAATACATTTTAAACAAGAGGATCTAGCGAGTGATTCTGATTCAATACACATAATCAGTTTGCAAGTCTTATTTCCATTTGAAAACAGGGCCATTTGCAATCATAAGAGCCGGACACGCTGAAAGATACAGAGCGCATTCCGAGCAGATGATGGGTGACAGAATCTGTAGGCAAGCACTAAATATTTTCTTCTAGCCTCAGACCTTGTGTGTCTTTAGTCCCAACGTATTTTAAATGGAATATTCCTGTTGAATATATAACTTAATTGCTTAGAAAATCGAGACTCCATGGTGGTGGAGGTGGGGGGGGGCGGCGGCAAAGAGGTCACTGAGAAACCTTGTTGATTGTGCTTCTGCTTGGCGCTGCTTAATGGTCATGCAATGAAGAATACACTAGGTAAAAGATTTGATGAAAAACTCGAATTTGTTTTTTAAAGGCACGGCCACAAGAAAGTGTTGCCCAGGGCTAAGGCTTGCGGGCTGGAGCCACCCATCCCTTACCTGGTGTGGGAGACCAGCAGGCAGGCTGCGGAGCAAAGGTGCAGAAGCTAGAAGTAAGCCAGGGGGACAACTCTGCGGCCTCCCAGCTATTCTGCTAAAGACTGGGGGGGGGGGGGCGGCTTCGCGGTTCCCAATTGGTTGTCAGGGGTCTCAACAAGAAATGTGGGCACTTGAAATCTCAAGCTGTTTCTTGGTCTCTTATCAAGGAAACTTTTGGTTTCCAGGACCGAGAGAAGCTGCTTACCATGGCCTCACCTTCCCTGCTGCCTCCACAGCCAACCCCCGGCCTCCGCGCAACCCCTGTCCAAGGGCTCACCCCGCCTATCCGTCGCCTCTTCTCTGACGCCCAGCCCACAGCCTCACTCCCTCCACTCTGTCTCAAGAAGCCCCCACCCTGTCCCATCCCAGCCAGTGACTCCATCCGGTTCCCGCGCCAGTAACAACCAACCTCGGTGGCGCGCCGCCTGCCGACAGGACCACCAACCCCTCCTGGAAACCACACCAGCACGTCTGGAGTGCGGTAGAATAGATGCTTCCGCTGAATTTACCCCCAGAATACACAGATATGAGTTCACTAGGTTACAATGATGCGAACTCTAAAGTGATGAGATTTTTTTTAAAAAAAAATATCTTAAAGCACATCTTTGAATTGAAAAAAAAAATTTAAACCAAAGTCAACAAGCTAACTGCTACTTTCCTTATGAGTTTTCCCAAGGAAAAGAGGCTTGTCTCTGCCCAGACACCAATGTTAAACGAACTTTCTAGTAGGCTGAAACTCGATCTAACAATAACAATAGTGTGTACTTAATGAGGATTCCATTTTGATTTCAAATGAGGATAATTCGTTAACCTTAAGTTGGTTCCATCAAGGCAAGGATTGTTTCTAGACGTTCTTGCAAAGCATTTTGACTCCGGGAACATCTTCGGAGAACCAATAGATGGAGTGTGTGTATGTATGGGGAGAGTGGGTGGGATTCTGAACAATTCCCAACCTT